CCGTATATTACGGGACTTCATCCCGCTCTCTCGTCTTAGCTCAAACCTTCATTTAATCTGCTCATCTCTCGAACGTTTGTCCATTTGACCTTTGTGTTCTCACCCCCATCCACGGTTATCAATGCAGCCTTGTCGTATTCTTTTGATCTGTTTGCTCGCCTCTGTCATCGTTACTAACTGAGCTCTAATCAGCCAATCAGGCACTTGTATTATGATCACCTTACATATGTAAACGCCTTACGCGCCTTATATCGAAAAGAAATTTCTTCGCGAATACCGTTTTCCACAGAATTAAAAATCATACCCGCTTAAGGAAGGTAGTTAAGTTTCACAGATGACTTTCAACGACCTGATTGAAGTGGCGCTTCAAGCGACAAAACTTCCACAGTATCCGTGGTTTATTCTTCACCAAGAAAATGCGGTAAGCAAAAGTGTAGCCGAACAGGTCTCTTTGGTTCTACCGATGAATAACTTATTGTAATTCGGAATTAATTTCATCCACCGTGTGAGCTGGAATCTCCACCAGGCAAATAACACAGATGATTGATGAATCAATCAATCAATTGATCGTGGTTCTGTTCAGATAGCTCCAGTTTGCACAGGCAACTGCTGTAAAACGACGGAAAGCTGAAATTTGCAAGCAAGCTTTCGATTGAAGTTAAGAGGATGTCATCTGTGTCTCCCTTCGTTGCTGTCGGGACAAATGAACTGACTGACTATCACTGAAGACGACACCTGAACAAACATGAATTGGCAATTTGGTTCAGCCATGATATGAGCTGGTCGGCACAGTGGTAACGCATACACCTTCCACGCGATGGGCCTGAAATTCAAATCCCAAACGGAACGGTAGATATGCACTATTGATTAGCTCCAATATGAGCGAAACTGGTGTCTAGTGCTTCCGAGTGTATGTTACAATCGATGAAATGAGGATTGTGCGTGAAGGCGAAGCCCGAAGGATAGTCAGTTCAAATCAATCAATATTAATCATGCCACATCACTACTCACAAATAAATGTGAGTTGAATGCAAACGAGCAGAAACAGTTATTTGTAACTCCAGCTCTGCCTTGGTTTCAGTTTCTACAACCATTAACCATGCGCTATCGTGCGCCGGTATTGGTTGCTGCGTTTTTCCTGCCCATTTGGATGAACATGAGGAGAAAGACAGGAAAGGTTAAAAGTAGGCTTAAAGAGAAAATTTAGGATTTCATTGCATCAATTTTGTAGAGAAATCCACAAGATGCACGAATGCCACTGTTTACGACACCCGGCCATATCATTCAGTGTCTCTAACCATCGGTGACGATCATCCCGAGGTCCCCAGCCAGGGAGCCTAACGGGACCTATGTGACCCAGTCCCGTGGTCGCGGTTTTCATACCCTCGTACCAGGTCTTAGCTAAACCGCTCTTGACTTTCTTCCACCCACTACTTGCCTTGGCGAACATCGCCCGCCGTGGCAGCCTATCTGGTGACATGCGAAACACATGCCCCAACCAACGTAATCCAAGGAGGTCTACCACTTGCTCCAGTGGGCGACCGCGGATGCCAAAAGCTCTGCGCCTAACCTCAGCATTGCTCGTCCGGCTGCCCCATCAGATTCGTGCAATGCTGCGTAGACAGCGGTGTTCAAACACCGACAGCCCATCTTTGTCCTGTTTCCTTAATGGCCAGGTTTTTGCGTCGTATAGCAGAACTGGCCGAACTGCCGCAGCATACACTCGACCCTTGGTAGACGAAATGGACGAAGTTAACATCAACAGCGCATCTGCGATATCTGTTACTTGTTGGTTTTCATTATGTTCCTGAGTGTAGTGTCCACATGAAGAGATACAGCGAAATAAGTTGTGTAACACTGTGCTTCTGTGTTCTTTATCTGTTCAGGTTGCCAAAAGTTGCGAATTTCAAATCAATGCACGAGGAGCATGGTAGAAAAATTTAAAAGAAAACAGAGTGGGATAGACAACGAGGAAAAATTCGAATGGACGAATAGATCTACCTTTTCGGCAGAAACAATGACACCGAGTTCACGAGTCAATCCATCTAGCACGACTTGGAGACCAACTTTAAGAGTCTCGGGTTGTGTGTTCGGGACTAAGTCCCAATTCAGTACAGCTGACAATCACTCACTCACTCACTACGTCACTCACCATACGATCATAACAGTAACAACAAGTGACACAACAAAGTTTGAGACTCGACAAACAAAGTTCGGCGAGAATTATCGACGAATCAAATACGGAACAGATAGGCAACAGACAAAAGAATAACTGAGAACGCCGCTCTGACGGTTATCAGTGTCGGTGTGCCAGAAGAGACATCGAATTCACTGAGAGAGAGAGAGAGAAAATCGAAATAGCTTGATCGGTCAATAATTGCAACGTATGCACTTAATGGATATCCACATTAGCCAACTGGGTGGTTTACATCTATTTCCCAGCGATTCTCGCTTCATTCTGTTGGAAATCAGCATACTTTGTGTGACTTTGAATGACGGAAAGGACGTTGAAAAGTTTTATCGTTCCCGGATTACTTCTGTGGAATGATTTGAGAGGCATAGAAATATTTACCCAATGTGCGCTACATAAATTAACCGAGAAGTGTACACGAGTTAGCCAATGAGCGTGTTGTTCCGAAACACAGTGTTTTTCAATAAAACGACCTAGATGAATCTGAATGTCAACAAAACAGCTCTACAGAATGAGAATTCGTTTTAGAATTGATCGGGTGCTACAATGGTTCGGCCACATCAATCAGCCAGCTGTCATGCTCAAAAAATAACAACGCAGGAAACGTGTTTGTGTTCGTGTGTTCTCCAAACTGGGCTGGTTTTTCGTAGGCATTTTGCATCCACCTCGGAGACTATACCGGCACCAATCTACCCATATCATATCCAACAGTGGGAACGCCCCGAGGATTAGGACAATACTCGAGAACTGGCCACACCGAGAGCTCGGGTGTAAAGGGAAAATCGAATGGAATGGTCACCAGTATTATGTATACCCCATACATCTGAGATGAGAAACGCAGTTTATGGTCGACAAACCGCGCGCTCTCTGGTGCACATATGTCAGTCCGGAATAACAGAAGCGATTCTCTAAAAAAAGCACTATTAGCCGACCGCAGGGTAGTCGGTAAAACAATATTTCACACACAAATATATCGACAAACAGATTTGAAAACCGATATTGTCGGAACTATTTTTATACCGACATAACACAAACGTTTTCGAAATTTCCGCAAGATTTGATTGCGTTCTCAAGCCAGTCGGTGAAATATTATTTTTTTAATCACTGAAGTTTGGTTGAATGGCCAATATTCTCGACTCCGAATCTTATTTATCTGAAACAAATCTTTTCCGATGGTGATCACATCACACGAGACCACAGTGTACTGCTAAATTCATTGCAACCATTTGCAATGCGGACCAATTGAGCCCAACCCCGAACACAGCTTTCGATACGAATCCGGTACTCCCGGATCGTAGTCTGAAATTGACACTTGTTTGATTTATGCAGCCTGCTATTCTCCGGCATTTGCAGACAACAGATAAAGGGAGTCTTTTTTACACACTTTCAAGTTTTTTCATTTTCTCATAATGGGGAACTTAATTCTACCAATCTTGTTAAATAGCAGAAACAGAACCAAACACCATTCGAGTGACATTCGCTATGATCGATTGACTCACTAACATTCGACAAAAACTACAACATTCGGAACAGGCCGACCGTAGAATAAGTTTGGTTCAGTATTAACGAGCGATATAAGAGACAGTATTTGGTGCACAAGTTTAATTATTCACTGACGATGCCACAATGAGGGAACCAGTGAAACCCCAGGAATATTATATAAAACTAGGGGGAAATACGTGACTTAGATCATGGCTGATCTGTTATCAATGGCATAAAATTTGGATTTGAACTAACCATCTTTCGACCTTCGTCTTCAAGCACCAGACTCAATTCATCCGGTCAATCATATACCATCGGGATCATCCTGTCCGGGCTCTGAATTCCGGACTAATCTCATATAAGGCGTGTGTGTGTTACCACTGAATCAACCACTTCAGACCAAAGCTGAATCAAATTTACAGGTCGTGTTTGCTTAGGTGTCGTCTTCAGTGATAGTCAGTTCACTTTTGGTAATGAAATCTAATGTTCCGAAATGTAAGCGAACCGAGCCTTCTAGCCGCAACTGGGGTCCCTAGTTTATTTCTTGTATCCAAACACCACCAAATCACTTGGCCGAATAGCGCACCCAATTATTCAGAAATAAGAAAAACTATTATCTGACTAACCTTTTTGAATGTCGTCGTTTCGCCTTGCATTTTGTCCGTTCCGCATACGGTCCAGCTGGAATCGGGGGATAGCCTTCACCCTCGAACGGCAACATCATCATCCCGTGACGCATCCCATGATAGTAGGCTTCTGGATACGGAACCATGGGTGGAATTGTACCCGGTGGTGGCGCCTGT